ACTCTCCCTTGGGTCAGCCACACCATTTGACGAGGGCTCTAACTCTCCAGGTTTACATTGTCTTTTCTGTCTACCTGCTTGTGTCCTTCCCTATACTACCTTCTTGGCAGAATGCCCTTTGGAAAATTAAACATTGCTTCCAGATCGAAACAGAACAAGAGAAGGGAATTGTATTCATTTTTACATCACTAGAAGTGCTAAGAAAGAGTAGAGCCCAACAGGGAAAAAAAGAAGAAAAAAAAAGTCTAATTTTTTTTTTTTTAATGATGCCTCCTGCTGCTCGGGTGACGGTGAGAGGGAAGGGACAGCCCCCAGGAATTGTTGGTGGGAATGCAGTTCAGCAGAACCATTGTGCAAAGCTATTTCCTATGATGTATCAATACCCTTAAAAAGGACTCCTAGCCTTTGACCCAGTAATTTAACTTCCAGGAATTTATGCTAAGGAAACATACATTCAGTGATCTTCAACAAGGATGCAAGTTGCACCACTCTTTATGATAGCTAGAGGGACATAATAATCTGAATATACACAATAAGAGAAAGGTTGCATAAATCAGGGTATATACCATATGATAAAATACCCCTCTAGCCATTTTAAGAATGTGATAGCAAAGGCTATTTAATGATTTTCAAAAATGCTTTAATAAGTGGAAAAAAAGGGGTGCCTGGGTGGCTCAGTGAGTTAAAGCCTCTGCCTTCAGCTCAGGTCATGATCCCAGGGTCCTGGGATGGAGCCCCGCATCGGGCTCTCTGCTCAGCAGGGAGCCTGCTTCCCCCTCTCTCTCTGCCTGCCTCTCTGCCTACTTGTGATCTCTGTCTGTCAAATAAATAAATAAAATCTTTAAAAAAAAAAATAAGTGGAAAAAAAACAGGCTACTATGTAGTTTTATTCCTCCCAAAATGAGAAGATATGCCAAGATATTAATAATGATTATCAGTGGTTATAAATTATGATTATATTGCTTTTTCTTGATTTTTGGTATTTTCTAGTTTTCTACAAGGCCATCTATAATTTTGAGTATCAGAATCTTCAAAGAATAGCTTTCTTCTTAATGGTCAGCTTACTGCTCATCTTGCCCCAGGTTTTAAAAGCCATAGAGTGGAGACTAGCCTGGGTCTGCCACATGCATGATGAGATTGGGAGCCTGCTGGGGCGGCACTGTCCATAGTAAGGCAGGCATGCCCTGGCTGGTATACCAGACATTCCATCATTCAAATGAGTCACCACAGAAGGGTGTCAAGCTGATGATAATGCCACACACTGTACTTGAACTATTGGCCACAACCCAACATGCTGCCAGGCCTTTGAGCCTTATCTTCCTAAACCATTCTTTCTTCACTGTCCAGTGAATGTCAACAGGACTAACGGGGACAGTATGACTCCTTTTGAGGACACTGTGGACCAGCAGACTAAACTATTATAAGCCTTCCAGCTGAATCCAAACTAAAACAGCAAATATTCATTTCATGCTAAAGTTTAAGCTCTTGTTGTTGTTATTGTAGCTGGCCTTAAAGGGGGCGGGGAGAGGGGTAGGGCACGGGCAGAACCCCAGGAATAAAAAATGTGCTGGGGCATTCAGCTCAGATACTCACAGCCTTACTCTGAAGATGGTAGAGAGGCCTTAGGGGCTCATCTGCTAAGACTGTAGTTACAAAATTACTTTCTCCTATCCTAACCTCAGTCATTTGTTATCTTTGGCCTCCTTAGGGAAAGTGAGAATTTGATAGCAGCTTCAGAGCCAGTAGCAAGCTGACCTTTATTGTTTGTGTGTTTTGTTTTAGGTTTTTTTAAGGGAGAGGTTTTTTGTGTTTGTTTGTTTTTTGTTTTTGTTTGTTTGTTTGTTTTTTGGGGGGGGGGTTTTGTCTGCTGTTGTCATTTTTCAGTAAGCTATAGCCAGACACTTTGGAACTGAAGGGAAATGAAAGATTATACAGTCTTGGGCCATTAGCATCATCTGTGTGATCTTATTTCCCACCTATATGTTCTCTGAGTTTTATCACAATTAAAATAAAATGTATTCCTTGCTTCTTGGAATAATAGTTATATATTATTGTCATTCTTTTGCTATAGACATCCATCATTAAATAAATAACACATGTTCTATAATATTGCTGTTCATGAGTTTCATTGACATGATTCTGAACACAAATGAGTAAAAAGCATAATTCCAGCAGTTTAAAGAATCAGAGTACTGTGGAGTGTGCATTTTATTGTTACAGTAAAATATAGTCATCACAAATTTTAAATTGTGGTCATTTTATAGCAAGTAAATGTCACTGCTATGAGTAAAACACAAGCAAACAAATGAAATTTTATTAGTTGTTAAAAATGACAGTCAGTACTACAATAATTGACATGGAGATTGAAGAGTAAGTTTTTATAATGGTTTCAAATACCTTGGAATTCCAACTGTACCCCCAGATAATTTCAGCCATGTACTACTGGCCAAGTAGTACTGGCCTTTGATAGGCATGGATGTGAAAAAACATTCAGAGCCCACATTGTGTTCATAGAGTATGTCCCCAGCTATGCCTTTAGCCAAAGGCATGATTCTTGTACAAATGAGATAGGAAGCTGGAGGTGTTTTGTACTTATAAAAGCCACTAAAAAGAAAAAAAAGAATACAAACAAACAAAAAGTCCTAAGGACTTTTTAATTGCCCTGTGCTGACCACTGACCAGAGGAACAGATGAGTTCAGGCCTCTTGGCCTGGGCTGCTTGCTCTCTTGAACTTGCAAATTTTCCCTGGTCAGAGCTCGGGTTCCCGGACTGGGTTGCAGTTTGGAAGTCATGGCCAGGCCTTGCCTGCTAGGTCATTATCAAGAGGGGTGTGTTGTGGGGAAAGGCCTGAGAGAGCAAGGTCTTACTCACCAGCTGCAGCTATAGAAGAAAGTGAGGACTGCACAGTTAAAATGAGGCAGCACTCTCTCTCAGGACTCGAGACAGAGTCAAGCAGGAGCAGGTATTCAACTAATAAGAGAGTAACTTATCCCTCAGCTGCCAAATCTTACTGTCTTATGTTATAGTTGTTTTTTGGTCAGTCCGATCTTGTTAAATAGATTGGGAACTCTTGAGGTTAGGGATCTTGGCAAATGCTAAATTGTTTTCCATTTATTGTGTTTGAACATATTGTATGCTCAGTAGCTTTTTGCTGGATTATTTGAGAAAAAGAGAAAAAAGCCATATTTTTAGAATTTAATCTCTTATATGAATTCCATCTGCTATGTGAATCTACCAGAGAGAAGACTGGAGGCAGGATTGGGGAATTTACAATGTGTTGAGTCTTATTGAATCTGTCTGTTGCTACATTCCCATTTTCCTTTGCAAATGTGGCAGAGATCTAAAGGAAACTCGTAAATCAGTGGTTAAGAAGGCTTCTAGTGCTGTGACCGAGCCTATAAGGAAGCTTGGCACAGCATAAAGGAATAGAGCCAGTCCTGCTACCCTAGAGATAGGACACTGTGGTGGCCAGAGCCCAGGGCTGAGGGCCAGGGGAACGGGGTCTGAACCTCGGCCCTGTCACTTAGAGGCAAGCCTCAAATTGGCCCCAAGTTTCCACATTTGTTTTGTGTGTCTTGGCTTGTTGGGAAAGTTAAATAAGATTTATTAATTTACTCAGTAATTATTTCTTGAATACTTACAGGCACTATTTTAGGCATTGGAGATAGATCAGTAAACAAAATGGATAAAAATCCTTGCCCTTATAGAATTTATGTTCTAGAAATATAATGTACACAATGGCATTAAGTAAGTGTTTCATTCATTTAGTCTGTGGATTTCTGGTGAACTCATGTGATAGGTTTTACTGTATATTTCCATGAGAATGAATGTTACAACCATAGGTAATTAGGACCATTATTAGATCTCATGTCTGAATTGAGAATGGCCCATTAAGTAGAACATTTATGCGTTCTTGCTAAATCGCACTATGTTTAGAGAGTCTGTTGCACTGGAATTGGATTGCTGTCATTTTCCCCCCGATAAAGTGCTTGGATCAAACATTCCAGCAGTTGGCTGAGGCTCAGGACTACAGGGGGTGTTGTGGCTGGGCGATTTCCACATTGTTTTCTCAGTCATTGGTCTTCCCACTATCTGTGATTTAATGTGATTTTATGGAGTTGCTAAGATGTTTGTTTGTGTAATTTGTAGAAATAAGTCAAAGGGCTAGCGTGACCAGTTAAAAGTCACAAGCTGTATTTCAGTGAGTAATTTTAACCTTTCCCCTGCAAACTTTTGATCAGCTACCCATCAAAGAACAAAATGACAGATTGAAGATTTCTGTTACTCATTTTTTCATTGCCTTCCCTGTGGGGCTTTTACTTAGAGCATCACAATGCCCAAAATCCATGAAAAGAGAAAGGGCAGGCCTGGAAAGCAAACCTCAGGGGAACCACAATGCTGTGGGTAATGTGTGCCCTCTCCTGAGAGGTGTGTGTCCAGACCCGTCCTTCATCCGCTATCATATTTCTGATGCACTGCTTCTCTGAGTCTCCAATGGCACACAGCCCATTTAGTTAAAAATGTAAACAGGAAATTGTTTTCTGGCTGAATGGCCCATGTGGCCCAGAAAAATAGTCATTTTTGCTGAGATCCAACTTTAAAAACACTCTCACAGCAGTGGAACCTGAAGGCCTCTTAGAAACTAGCCCTGTTCCACATGGGCTGGTGCTAGGGTATGAGTGGGAGCTCACACGCATGGGCCCAGGGCATCTTCCACCAGTGGGCAAGGCACACCATCGAAAAAGCTCCTGTGACCTAGAAAGCAGCTGTTCTGCAGGGCAAAGAGACTCCTTAATACTCCAAGGAATTGCAGAAGAGGCGTTACTTGGAATATACCGAGGTCTGGTCTGGAGAAATGTGACTTGGCACTGACAACACAGCCGGGTTTCAGTGCTCCTCGTCTGCTCCAGCTCCCCATCATTTGGCCTCCCATGTACCTCATGCCCCCATTGTGGTTTCCCTCTGTGCTGACGAGTTTTCTGATTGTTCTGTCTTGCAGCCCCCCGAATCCAAGCCCAACTTCACCCCTCTCGCCATCTTGGCCCATGTTCTCGGCGCCATCCAGCCCTATGCCCACCTCATCCACGTCCAGCGACTCATCCCCCATCAGGTCTGTTGCAGGGTTTGTTTGGTTTTCTGTTGCTGCTGTTGCTCTCTCATTGGCTTGGTCCTCTCTTCATGCAGTGTTCAGCCTCCTCGTCAACTTTGTTCCCCGCCATCCAAACCTGCACTTGCTTTTTGACAGGCCTGAAGAAGCAGTTCGCGAAGACTCCAGGTAAAATCATGGATGATGACCAATCTATTCCTGTTTATCCAAAGCTGGTCAGGAACAGTGCGGGTGGCTAACCTCTGCCCTCCTATAATTCCAGCCTAAGAGACCGAAGCTGGGAGGGACATGTGCATGAACCAGCATGGCATTTTCCACATCTCTCTGAACCCTTCCTCCAATTTCTGAATGAATCCGTGATGCCTGGAGTTTGGGGAAAGAGTGCCTCCTGGATGGGCCCTTGTTCTCTGAGTCATGGAGCTTTCTCTGTGCTTTGGTATAAGATAATACCAGAGGGAACAGTGCTGAGACACTTACTGGTCTTTTCTTCCCTCATTTTTATCAAGTAGCATCAGGCAGCATTTATTTGTGGGGTTTGACTATTGGCCATGAACATTGACCCCTAGTTGCTAAGACCAGAATCACGAGAGAGATGAATGTAATGGAATAAAGGATGGAGATGTGAAGTAGTTTCTCTTTAAATCATCATGGCTGCCTCCTTGCCCTCTGTGTGCTCCGATCTCCGATCTCCATGCATCAGGGACCCTTAGCACTCATGGGAATAGGCAGCACCTCTTTCTCAGGGTTGATCTAGTTCTTCTCTGGTTTGAGGATGTCTAGACTTAATTCTTTAGAGAAAAGAAGCTATTTAAATAAAAAAAAATTAGTTAATAAAGATTCCCTGCAGAATCTCTCTGCTATATGGATCCTAAGGCTGTGTCTCTCTCAAATTTAGTTTCTTCTTGCAGACAACTAAAATGTAGAGCCCAGTTATAAAGCATCATAAGCCCCTGGAGCCTTAACAGTATTTTCTCGTCCATCAATTTTTCTCATAGCTGTTTTTTTTTTTTTTCCTGAAGGATGGGTCCAGCAGAGAGACTTAAATAATTTGTAACATTGAGTCTCACTTTTAAAAAAGAAAACCCATGTTATTTATATATATAGGTGTATATATTAGTTTATTCTTCTCCAGGAACTTTCCAGTCTATCACTGCATTCTATCATCTTGTGAGAATGAGAGGAGAAATGGCCTGAACTGTCTTACAGGGAAAGAAAACTAAGGCACAGAGAGTTGACTGTAGTCCCACCACTGGATGAGAGCCCATCCAGAATTCAGGATTTCTTGTCCTCAACTCAGCACTCTTTCCTCCAAACATGTGGGTGTCCCCAAACCTAAGGTTCCATGCCACTCCCAGCTGCAGAGCCTGCCCTGCTCTTCCTGATTTTCTGTCTAGCTTTGCAGTGGAAGGTGGGCAAGGTAGCTTTTTCATACACTCTTATCCTCATCCTGGGAATAAAGTTAAAATTCAGACCCTATTTTTCTGACACTCAAGTTATTTCCTCATTATTTCTTAGACATATTCTGGGTGCTTTGGGAGACACTAACTTTCTAGGACATGAGATATGGCATGGATCTAACCAGAGCAGTTCAGTCACTCATTCCCCCATGAAGACCTGAACCACAGCAAAGTACAGCCACCTTCCAATATGCGTCACTACTCATAGAAGAAGCTTGGTCATTAGCAGAACGTGTTTCCTTCATTTTGAACAAAGGGAAGTAAAATCTTCAAAACACTGGTCCCTTGAACAGAATGGACTGGGGGACTCAGAATGGTAGAATCATTCAGGTAAAAAGCTGAACATATTTTATGCTTTCAGGATGTTCACTTTTTTGTGTCTCTGCGTTTGGGGGCCTGTTGCCTGACCAGTATCTCCACCTCTGTACTCTGTTTCATCACCCAACAAATTTTCAGGGTCTGTTTGTTTGTTTTTTTCTTTCTTTAGCTACTCCTTTCCATCTCCCAAAGTATTTCATGATTGACAAAGCACAGTGGCAGTAGGATCTGCTACTGTAGTAGGTCTGGGATCATGGTTATTCAGAACTGCCCACTCTGGCCATCATTGAAATAGCACCATTTGGATGATACCATTCAACAACACTTTAGGAATCTGCCATTTTGAAATAGGAAAAGCAGACTGGGGCTTGGAATCAGCTGTCACAGAGCTAAGTGTGTGTGCTGAGGTGAGCACAGATGGAGACCCTACTGGGAGCTAGCCCATCAGACCTAGCCAACGGAGAGGATTAAAGTCCCCTAACTGCCATTGGGGTATGCAGCCAAGAGATGGGAGCATACCTGTTGTTCAGGTCCAATGGGGCCTTTCCCCCAAATCCACTTCAAGAGCATGCAGCTTTAGATTTCCTTCCCCTGGCAGAGATTTTAAAAAGTAGATACTCCATAGGACCTAATAAATGGTCCTGTGAACTTCTACGTAATGTCTCCTCTGGGACTGACTCCCTCTCCACTCTTCCAAGCATTTTCAGTGCTTGTTAGTTCAAGCGCAGGAAGGAAGATGCCTTTAATAGCACAGCAGAGGAAGGGTCATAGAAGCATATTCCCTTCACACTTCCCTTTCCTGTTACCTCTAGAGAAGCTCCCAGCCCCTAAACCATACCTTCCCTTTACACAGTGGTCCCTGGCAGTGGGGCCTGAATGATCAAGCTGTTGCATCCTGCCAGTCTGGCTGGCCCCACCTTCCTGTAGTGTCATCTGATGGACAGTGGGTCGTCATTTTGCAAGGTTTGCAAGGGCGTTTGAGGGAAGCTCCTCTGAGTGCTTTTCTGGCCTTGTGCCATCCTCAGAGGCGAAAATTAAAAATGAACCAGCAAGAAGGTTCCAAACTTGTTCATGCCCTTGAAGGCCAGCTGAGGTCTGAAGGGCACTGTTTCAGGAGCAGCTGAAGGCACCTAAGGCTCTCTGTGTCCAGTGTTGAGATGCACTGCAGAGAATGGGGAGCCACAGAGCCAAGGATGCTTGGTGTGGGGAGTTTTAATTTTTTTAAGTCAGAGCCAAAGCCTACAAACACAACCTCAGTGCCAAAAGGATCTGTTTTGGTAGGAACCCTACCTTAAGCAAACTACTGGGGCTTTTGAGAGTGAATATAACATAGGACCCTGGACCTGTTGGGATGACAAACTTTTAAAAAAGATAAGACTGTCCCCCAGAAAGAATTGCCAGACTTAGCAAATGTTTAGCAAATAAAATGAAAATACAGAATATTCAGTTACATTTGAATGGTAAATAAATGGCAAATGGTTTCTCTTATTGTAAGTAGGTCCCATGTAGTATTTGGGACATACTTCTACAAAAGCATTTCTCGTTGATCTGAAATTCTAATTTAACTAGGTGTCTTGTACTTTATTTGGCAGCCCTGGTCCTGGGAAACAGGAAAAGGAGGTCTCAGGGGAAAAGACCTTCTTGTAGATGGTCAGTCACCTGTTAATCTAAGAAAAAAGCAAGTCCCTTTCCTGATCTTTGTTTTTATTTTTAATGGATTATTTTATTGTCACTTGATTCAATTCCAAAAGCCTAACATTAGTAGAAAATTTGCTCCTCTTGAATGATAAACTTCAGCACTTGAGACCATTCCCTCTGCTTGATTCCTGCCAGATACCCCACTTGGCTTCCCTCGTTTGCCCATTTTGTCCCATTCCTTTTATTTAATGAAGTTAATAAGTAACCTCTATGAAAATCCAGCTGGAGGAGGCTTGCCTCAGTAATCTTACCCTCACCTTTGATTTTTCTCGTCCCTGGTCTATGCACTCTAGCCACCCGCTGTGCACTGTCCTCAGGGGCCAGTGTCCAAGGTTAATGTCAGATGGATTTTCCTTCTACCTTCCAGGCTCTCCTTGCCTGCCATTATGGGATATGGGCCATTTTATCACTTTTTATAACCAGGCAACTCCTCCTCTTGGCTCCCACTCCCTCAAAAACAAAAACAAACTATTTTTCCCTCCATGGAAAGTTGCACAATGGAGGTTTGGCCCTTCCTGACAATATGCAGACTTGGTTCAGTTAGATCACAGAATATGCCTCTGGTGCAGAGCTCTATTCTGAGTTTAATGACAATTACCCCAGAAAGAGCTGTTTTCCACTTAAAGCTCAGGAATTTTGATGGCTCTTCTTTCTTTGATTCCCAGTGAATCCACTTCATTTTCTCCCACTTTCCCAATTTTCTCCTACCTGGCCATCATCTGTTGGCCACTAGAAGACCAGAGAAAAGAATGGCAAACTATGCCCAGCAATAGTTCTAGATAATCATTTATCATGATCATTGTGTGCAGCAGAACTTTTAAACTATCTTTCCTTCGGTTTTCATGGAGCCAAGACTAGACCTTCTGATGCCTGGTCCCAGTGTAAGTGTCCATCCATCCATCCATGGCTTCTCCTTCCCAAAGAGAAGCTGGATTTGGTGACTCTGAGAAATAACAGTGTCATAATGACCCAAGACCCCTGCCTCTTGTGATTTTATCTGGGCTTACCTAAGACCAGACTTTCCTCACCTAAATCTCATTTGGCTGCTAGAAGTCAGTGTGCCAGAGGGCACTTAGCATCACCGGCTCCTGGAGGCTTTCTGTTAGTCAGATGAAGCTGGAGTAAATAATCCATCCCTGGAATAATTGTTTAACCCAGAGGACCTACTTGCTCTTTTGTTATTCTGCCCTGAGCTCCTAAAAGTGCTTCTTCAGAGGGAGAAGAGATTACTTTTAGCAAATAAAGAGTCAACTTCTGACTGTTCAATGTTATTTGTTTTATGACCCTTGAGAAGTCCATAGATCATTTGGAACTATTTGGATATCAAAGCAAAAATTGATAGAAGGTAATAGGATTTACCAGTTCTTAACAATTTACTCTTTAGATCAAGTCCAACCTACCACCTGTTTTTTCTAAGTAAAGTTTTGAGGGAACATAGCCATACAAATTCATTTACATGTTGTCTATGGCTGTTTTTATGCCACAAGGCAGAGCTGAGTAATTGCAACAGAGTTCTTATAGCCCACAAAGCCTAGAATACTCACTGCTAGGCCATTTAGAGCAAGAAGATTGCCAACCCCTAATCTAGAACAGTGGTTCTTAGCCCTGGTTGCACACTAGAGTCACTTTGAGAGCTTTTCAGAAATTATTTTGATGCACATATATACATCATGTTCCCCCTCCCTTCTTCCTCCCCACACTCCCCACACACATTCATGTAAGTGCTCACACACACAACTTGTCTGTTCCCTGCCCTACCCTGGGGGTCGGGAAGTTCCAGCTCTGGAATCCTGCTCCACCAGCCCAATGAGAAATAAGTGACATCTGAGAAAGCGAATGTCAGCCCGTGGCCTAGAGCCGAAACATGGCTATTAGAATTTCTGCTTTTTGACTCACTGAGCATTGCCAGTTTTCAACCAGGTCTGTTATGAGTGCTCTCCAGAGCAACTGGGAAGCTCTTTCCTGCCCAACCTCCCTTTCCCCAAACTACTCCTGCTCCAAGAATGGGTCTCAGCCTATACTCCCACTGTTCAGGTGTTATAACTCCTAGGCAGAGTTTCACATGACACAAGGTGACCCCACAAGAAGTGTGGTTTCTCAGGGCTTATGTCTTGTCTCTGAATAATTCTCATTTTTCTCTGGTGACCTTTGCAACTTTTCCACCTCATGTTTTGCCATCTGGCTGCCTTGTCAGGCTGTTGCCACAAGAGACAACTAGGTGACTTGCAGGGAAGTGGATGAGAGAGATTACATATCTGGGGCTTTCAGAAGGTTTAAAAATACTGCTAAATAAACTCCTGTTTTCACACAGCACACCGTTCCGGAAGGCAAAAGCCTTATATGCCTGCAAAGCTGAACATGACTCAGAGCTCTCGTTCACAGCAGGCACGGTCTTCGACAATGGTGAGTTTCTCATCCCCTTGCAGAGCCGTGGGAGGGGTAGGGGAGCAAAAAAAAAAAAACCCTGCAGTTTTCAAAGTTCTACGAGGAAAAAAAAAATACAGTCTCTCTCTCTCTTGAATGGGTAAGACTGAAAAGAAGTGTGGTAGGGCGGGGCGGGGGGGGTCTTTCCCCAAAATAGGGGAGTAGCAGCAGGACTTCTAGAGGCGCTGTCAAGAGTAGGACAGTGTACAGAAGTCTTCACTTGGATAGACTCAGCCTCATGGAGCTGTATTGGACATGAAAAATGATTGTGAACCTGGACAGGGCTCCACTCAGCACCTGGCAGTGGCTTTGAGAGTCTGGGAACTGGACAGAGGATAGGAGATAGCAGAGCAGAGAAAAGGGATCCTGCAAGTGGCTGGCTCAGGGTGAAGACTGAAGCACACAGGGTCTGTGCCTCTTTTCCTCCTGGGTTCAGTGGCATTCACTCTCCATAGCAGGTGAGGCTTATTTCCAGGCTAGCAGGGCACTGGGCAAGCTCAGGGTCAGTGAGCCTCCATGCAGCCATGCTTGTCCTCCCCCTGACTGTTGGCAGTGTAGAGTCGACTCCCTCGGGGCCATCTCCCAGCAGACTCCCAGCTGTGCTGCTCAAGTATCCTGTGTGAAAATGGAGTCATGGCACCCGCATGGTAGAACTGGGAACCAGTCTTACTTGCTGTACCTTTTTCTTGTTTTTTTTTGTTTGTTTGTTTTCCTCCCGAAAATAAGGAAAAGGTAGTATTTTTCAAAGTGACTATTGATGTCATAGTTTGTCATAACTTACCATTTACCTAAGAGAAAAATTAGGATTCTGGGAAAAAGCCAGAGTCTTTGTTGTAGCTGAGATTTTTGCCAGATGAAGTTCTCCTTTGGGGTTAATCTTCCTGGGTCCTTGGGTGAAAGGGTCCCTTGTTTTGCCCACAGGAGAAACCCAGAGCTGCTGCCTGATTTCAGGAAGCAGACATTTTCACGGGCTGCCTTCTTGACCTCCGGTGGGGTGGCAGAGTTTCTGAGCAGGGCTGAGTGCCTGTCGCCCAAGCGCTCCCCTTCAGGGCTGAGTGCCCCACTTTGTCCTAGGTCACACCTCCCGCCACCTGCTCGAGAGCCAGAAATACAGAGCAGCCAAGGCCCCCACCTATCACTGGAGTGCCTGAGCTCTAGATTCAGGCCACCAAAGTGCAAGTCCAGGCTCAACCACCTGCTTCTGTGTGAACTCCAGCAGTGACAAACTCTCTGTGCCTCAGTTCTGTCCTCTGCCACATAAAGATAAGAGGGTTGTAAGGGAGAATTGCAGTAGTGCACATCATGTATTTAAGAGCATACTCAACACATTAAGCATTCAGTGTTATTATCATGATGATGATTGCCATCATTATGCCCATCTAAGAGCCTGATGTTCTCATAGCTCACTGTGACCCTTTTATATTTGTCCCTCCTATAACACAGGCCTGGCTCTTGCCTGGTCAGTAGGTACCACACCTTGGCCCTCTGAGTCCTGGCTGTCTTTAGCAGTCTCTAAGCCAAGTAAAGATGGACTCCTGGGGACAGTCTTGAGTGCACCTCCATGTGAAGGGGCAGCCCCCTGTTTGCCCAGCCCTGCATTCAGCGTTGCAGAGATAATAATTAGGCATGGGGAGACAGGTCACAGAGCACCTGGGGGATTTCTAGGTCACACTAGGACCTTCTGAGCCCGCAGGAGCTGGGGTGAGCCCATGACTGTATGTGGCCTGCTGGGCATGTGTCCTCTTGTATGGTTCTCTAAGCCCCAAAACACTGTCCTTAAACCTTTGCTCCATTAACTTTCACTTGGGTGCTTTACATATCCAAGTGCACAGCCAGCCAGCTGAGCTGCCTCTCCTGTCAGCAGCTGGAGCATTCCGGCCCTGGCAGACCTGAGGTGACATGGGTCCATGGAAGGCTGTCCAGAGCCATGTCACTGACAAGTATGCTCTGCCTGAATAGGCCCACGTGGTGGAGTCCCAGCGCAGCCCTAACATGACACAGCGTTCCCAGCAGACAGACCCGCGTGGGCTGCATACAGTCCTTCTGCCTAGAGATGGGCAGGATTTGAGACATTCCCACGTTTACAGGTGAATCCAGAACTTAAAGTCTGTCCTCTGAACCCTAGTTCACTGCTCCTGTGGGCCGGGGACTGTCATGTTCCTATCAGCTATTCCCTGTGACTGCACAAAGGACCCCTGATCTTAGGGGCAAACTTGGTCTAAACTTTCAAAAGGTATGTGTATGTGTGTGTATCTTGTTTGTGACTCCTTTTTTCAAGGGTAACCCTCTTCCTTTTTTTTTCCCCCCAAACAACTTTCTTGAGATACCCACATATCATACAGTTTACCCATTTAAAATGTACAATTCCATGGTTTTTAGTATATTCAGAGTTGTTCAACCATCACTGCTATCTAATTCCAGAATATCTTCATCACCCCCAAAAGTGCCCCTTAGCAGCCATGCTCCATTCACCCCCAGTCCTCCCCCATTCAGCCAGGAAACCACTCCTCTACTTTCTGTCATTATTAATTTGCCTGCCCTGGGTATTTCATATAAATGGACTTACACAGTATGTGGTCTTTGCAACTGGCTCTTTCCACCTAGCATAGTATTTTCAAGTTTCATCCCTATTGGAGTGTGCATCAGGACCTCTTTCCTTTTTATTGCTGGGTAGTCTTCCCTTGTGTGGATACACATTTTATTCATCCACTCATCAGTTAATGGCATTTTGATTATTTCTACTTTTTGGCTGTGAGGAGCAATGCGGCTGTAACCGTGCACGTACAGATTTTTGTGAGACACCTTTCGGGTCTCTTGGTGATAGACCTGGGCGAGGGCGGAGGTACTACTGGATCCCACAGAAACTCAGTTAAACAGTTGAAGGAGCTGCCAGACTGTTCTACAGAGAGGTTGCTTCATGTCACCTTCCCACCTTTTTAAGTCTCCTTTTTGAAGCAGCTTAAGTAGGTAACCAAAGAGGAAGGAAAAGAAACCTAGGTGATTTTTAACTGCCAAGTCCTTTCCTTCCCTACGGGGTGCTCTGCCTAGCACGTCCTGAGACTGCGTGCACCACACAACTTGGTCATCATTGTAAATCCTATAATGATAAAGGAGAGTGGGAAAGAGGTTTGGTTTAATGAGTCAGAGACCTTATCCATGCCTTCCTGTGATCTCTGGGTGTCATGGCAGCTTGTTTTTAACCAGGAATGCCCTTTCACATTCCCTGAAGAGCAAAAGGTAAAATGACACCCCAAAGAAAACACCTCTCACTGTTGACTGAGCTGCAGTCAAAGAAGGATCTGACAAAATGTGAATCTACTTTTTAAAGATTTACTTATTTATTTATTTTAGAGAGAGAACAAGAGAGTATGCATGATGGGGAGGGAGGGGGGGAATGGGGACATGCAGAGAAAGAGAATCCCAAGCAAGCAGACTCCCCATTGAGCAAGGAGCCTGCTGCCAGGCTTGATCCCAGGACGGACCCTGAGATCACAACCTGAGATGAAACCAAAAGTCAACCAAAAGATGCTGAACCAACTGAGCCAACCAGGCACCCCATGAATACACTTTTTTGTGGTGATTCCTAGAAAATGCTACACATATCCCCATTTCCCCCCTCCCTTCACATCTGTTGGAGAAATCAGGCATTACAGGAGAAAAAGCTGTTAGCATGTTAGGCAGGGAGATCATTTCCCTTGTTCTCTCCCTTGCTAGTTTGTTTCTGGAGACATCAGTAAGAGCTGTTTAAGTTGGATGCTCTGTAGCTATGAGATTAAATCATCAGACCAATAGGAAGAAAGTTTCTTAATGACAGGCTTCGAGAGTTAGAGTTCCTGTGTGTTGTCTTTTTCAGGATCAGGAAGAATGAATAAGGAGGAAGAAGGAGGGGCACCCTGAGGGGAAACTCTGTTATTTCGCAATGATTAATCAACAAGTCTTTGGATTCCAGGGGCCTGTGCTGTGAATCTGAGGTGGCTGCTCAGTCAGCTTTTGGACTTTGTGCAGGGGGGAATGGGTGTGCAATACTCAGAAATAACTCCACTGTCAGCCCTTGCCAGTCTACTAGGAAATAGCCCATTTCACCAGGAGCACCTCAGATAGTAACTGGAAAGAGAAATAAGTTGTGTTCTCAGGAACATTAGTCATTTTATGGCAGTGTGATTAGTGGTACCTGGAAAATTCACATGGTAGTCACTAAAATTGGGTTCTTGGGATACTTCCCTCAAGATTTGAGGTGGGCTGGATCCATTCATTCCCAGGGTATGGGGTACTGTGTGAGTGTTAAGATCGGGCTGCCCTGGGTTTCCGCAATAGAGAACACCCTCCCAGGGGACCACTGAGCTACTCCACCAGTGGGGTGTTGGGGGGAGGTCCTCAGTGAAGTCTTTTGGACTCCACAGCTGTCTCTACTGCCAAATCCAAACACAAACCCAAGCCACCTCCATCTCTTACCCAGGTGTTTCCACCAGCTACCTATATAGTTGTCATGTCAACTCTTGTCCCCATAACCCATTCTCTGTGCAGCAGCCAGAGTGATGTTTGGAAATCACACCATGTTACTCTGTTTCACATACTCCTGGTCTCTTGTTCCTCCCACAGTTATTGGTGGGTGCCTCCACAGACCAGCTCCCAACCCCCGGCCCTTCCCTTCCTCACTCGATATACTGCAGCCTCACAGGCCTTCCCTGTGTTCTCAGTTATAGTCCGCAAACTATGACCTGTCAAATCTAGCTCACTGACTGTTTTTGTAAATGAAATTTTATTGGAGCTTAGCTACCCATGCCTCTTTGTCTGCATATTACCTATAGAGCTACAATGGCACAGTTGAGTAGAAACACACATTTACAATCTGGCTCTTTGAGAAAAATTTGCAGACCACTGTTCTGAAATCATACCAGGCATTCTGCCACCTTAGGACCTTTGCACTTGCGTTATCTGCTGCCTGGCTAGCTCCTTTAGATCCTTTAGGTTTTAGCTTTTTTGAGCTCCTCTCCATACCTGCATCCCTATCCCAGTCTCTCTCTCTTCCCTCATCACTCCCTAAAATTATGTGCTTCTTTATTAATATATTGCCTTGATCCAAGAGCAGAATCCTTCTGCTTGCTCAGTACTGTGTCCAGGGTTCCCTAGCACAGTGTCTGGCACAGGGTAAGTGCTTAATAAATGCTTGCTAAATGAGTAAATGTATTCAGCTACACAAGGGTTTTTGCCTCTTCCAGCCAGTGCTGCTTCCCTTTGGAGCAGTCAGCCATTAGAGATCGTAGCCACATGCTTGCTTCTTGTCCACAGTGAGAGAAGGAAAGGAGAGCGCATGAGTTGTGTGTGTAGGGGTATAGGAAGTGTGTGTGGCTGGAGCTGAGAGAAAGTGGTTGGCAGAAAGCACATCCATGTCAGCGGCAGCTTATATTAGATGCTTGCTGGGCTGGAGAGCTGCCTGGGCAACTCACGGAAACACTCCGTGTGTTTATATAGCACATTGGACATTGGTGCAATTCAGAAAGTCGGACATTGGCTCAGTTGAGCTCAACAAGTACTTATGAGCATCACTGACATCCAAAGCAATGGGCTAGGCAAAAGCTATAGTGGTTAGACCACAGCCTCTTTGGTCAGATGCCCTGGGTTCAGATCCACCTCCATCCCCTGTCAGCTGTGTAATATTGGGCAAGATGCTTAAACTCTCTGAGCCTCAGTTTCTCATCAGTAAAATGAGGCTAATAGCAGAATCAACTCCAGAGTCATTCTGAAGATGAAAGGAGTTGGTGCAGGCAAAGCATTAGCAAAAAGCCACCACTTGGCATGTACATATATATGTATATGTGCATTCTTAGTATGTGCGTATGTATCATTCTTATCCCCAAAGATCACATTCTCTGGTTGAATATAGATGCAGTGGTTTGTAAAAGGGCATGGTCTCTGGAGTCAAACAAGCTGGGTTCAAACACTAGTTCTACCATTGTGATCCTGCTGTACAAATTAATTTACGTTTCTGAGCCTTAATTTTCTCATCTGTGAAGTACAGATAGTAAAATGCAAGCTAGGATCTTTAGGATCAAATAAACTGATATCTTTCTAAAGCTCTCAGTCCTTTGGCTCCTTCCCAGGCACTATCTGTTAGCTTCTGTCATAATTCACCAGGCAGAGGGGAGTCAGAGTACAGACTAAGTGTCCTTTAAAAAAGGGGGGAAGCAAAGCTTAACACATTTAAACAGTGTTAATAAGACCCATGAACAATGTACAGAACGTACCATGAGCATTCCAGGAGTTTGGAGAAAAGAGGGTACAGGTACGGTAGACCAGAATCCATGCCAGTATTTATGAAGGAAGTAGGGCTTCAGCTGAGCCATGAAGTGGGAGGACAGGAAACAGAAGACAACAGAAGCTGGGAGGACATCTGATGTTGCCTCCCTCCTCTAGCAGTGAATGAGAATTTGCATTTTCTTATTACCACCCTTGTTACAGAGGCATTTTGGCACAGAAAAGTCATAACCCTTACCTTTCTTTGGATGAGTTAAAAAGACAGATCCCTGGGCCTCCCTCCTGGAGATCGTGTTTTAACTGGTATGCCTTAGGGTCCAAGACTGCAGTTTTAATAACCATCTAGGTGATTTGGGTAGTCTGCTACCATGCCTTGATGAACCCAGCTTGAAGACCCCCGTGAATCCCAGTCTAACCTGAGGGCTGCACTGTCCCCTGCCGTCTCCTGTGACACAGCTCCTGTTCTTCAATATGGAGGGCCTCCTTTATCCCTTCTCACTCTTCCCTTACTCTGCAAATTCCATTTTTAATGTTTGTAGACATTACTACCTCAACACCTGAGATGTGTTTGAACAGCTGGCCAGGAAGGGAGAATGTCTGAAAGTGAGGGACTACGTTTATCTGGTGGAGTAACAATTCAACTAGGAGCTCTGCTGTAAAGTGGAAGGCGTCTTTTTTTGTTTTTATTTTGTTTGGTTGGTTGGTTATTCTTTCTAGGCCTTTTATTTTGGGGAGTGAGTTTGTTTGTTTGTTTGTTTGTTTGTTTTGGTTCTGAACACTTGAGCTTCCCCAAAGCTTGGGTGGGTATTGAGACCAGGCCATTACTGGGAGAGAGCCTTGTTGAGCAGTCCAAGTGACTGATGAAATGATGCAGGATCCCCTGTTGACTAGCCCAGCTGTGTCGTGGCTCTCTGCTGAGTGCTTTCTCCATGCTGGCCCTGGAACTTCACAAGAACTCACTGACAGAGTACCAGTTTATAGGTACAGAAATTAAGTGATCTTAACATTGTGAGCTGGGTGGCTGGGCAGAAGGCGATGGTGTTTGGGTGCTAGTATCTTAGAGGTAGGTTGAGAGTTTCATCATTGGAGAGGACGGACTGCTTTTAAGTTGTGTTGTGTTCTTCCGCGGCACTTCTCTTCCAGACTCCTCCTTGTGTGGGCGTCATGAATCCAAAGTACCCTTACTATTTTTGGTTTATTCATGAAGCCTAGTGATACAAAATTATGCAAGCATTGTAGAGGCCAACTAATAGATGTTTGAGCTTGTCTTTTCCTGAAGAAGCTTTCAAGATTACGTTGACGTTGATCTCCTATAAGCCTCAATGTGTGTCCTTTTGCTACTCCCCCATTGCTTCCTTTTGTTTCTGCTTCTTTCCCTAAAAACTGAAACTAGAGTTATATAGTAGCAATGGGGGCGGAAATGCTTTTCTAAAACAAGCTCAGGAAGTCACTTAATTAGCCTAGGAAGGGAATAAGAGAAAATTCATTCTTTTCAAACAATCTCAGAAAATTGGACTTTTCCTAACACACTAAGAGCAAATACGTTGCTGTTCCCATTAAGAGTGATCTGTATATTCCTAGTTTACAAGCATGAATATCCACCCTCCCCCCATTTCCAGGTCCCATGATTCCTTCTCTTTTTCTTCCTGCTATTGAACTTTGCAGACTTAGCTAGATTTTATATAATCTTTACAATATCACTAATTTCCATGAAGATGGATTGTGATAGCACAGAAATTAGTGTTTTTTGTTTTGTTTTTTTTTTTTTGGATATTGAAAAATCAAAGAACTGGAGATTTTGAAAGTTGCAAGAGAGAGAGGAAGAAGACAGCTTTCAGTATCGTATGTAGGAGGGAGGAAAATTCTAGAGAACAGCAAAGAAAACTAAGGGTATGCGTGGAACAGAGAGGGGGCTGTTCAAAGGCTATGCAAAAAAACCAAACAATTTGCAGGGAGGCTGGAAGCAGAGGGTAAGGATTTAAAAGGAAGTGAAATTCATAATTAGATTAGTAAAATGCATTCTAGATATCTTTAAAGACGAGTTCTTAGCATTCCTCCAAGGCACTCCACAGGGTACAAAGGCAGTCCTGGGTAGATAGATGGGTTGGGTGGATGGATGGCTAGATGGATGGATGGTTAGATAAATTTATGGATGGAGCACTGTAACTGACTTCTAACCTTAAAAAGTAGAGATTTGTCACCTCTTTCTGGTTTAAACCAGCAACTTCAGAAAGTCTAGGAAACTCTTAAAATTCTATGTAAAATTTGGAACGTCTTTGTTTCCTTTTCTGTTACAAAGAACATTTGGCGTAACCTTTATTGAAAAGCTTATGTCCCACAAAAAGTTAAGAACCCCTGGTTTAAACAAGTCCTGGAAATGTGAAATATAACAAGCGATTGCACTCATTTGTTCTCATGTGCACACACATCTACCACCTGCCCTACCTGTAACATCTTCTCTTCTCACTTGCTCTCTCCCCTCTTCCGGTACAGTTCATCCATCTCAGGAGCCTGGCTGGTTGGAGGGGACTCTCGACGGAAAGACTGGCCTCATTCCTGAGAACTACGTGGAGTTCCTCTAACTGGTGACCCCAGCAGACCTGCTGAGCTTTCCATGGTGTCCATGACAACTGCTGATTCTAGTGTTGTAGGCCATTTCTCTTTGCCACTGAGAAATGCAGGGTGACTGACTCTGTTACCACCTGTCAACACGAATGTTTCTATGAACTCTGGTGTCACCCATCCCCATGATCATGTCAGCTGGCATGTGGTGATACTGCACGGAACAGAAGTAAATCAGCAGTGGAGGCCATTTGATTTCAATAATCAAGAGAAAGGCTTGCGAAGTCGTTCCTCTCATTTAGCTCCCTAAATAGGGAGCATTCATTTTGTTTCAATAGTCACCCAAATCCAAAAAAGGAAGTAAGAAAGATGTATGTAGTCCTCAAGAGCATGTAATGTAGCTAAGTCTAACAGGGCTGGGCATTGGCTCTGAGGCCCAGGCTGGGCCCGTTGCTTCTGTTTACAGTTGACACTCTCTCTACTCCACCTCTAAATACTTGAGACCCACAATGCTACAGGCAGCTGGGTCTGTCTGGTTGCATGCAGGAGAGAGAGGGGTTACAGCACTGTTTACATAAGATGCAATCTCTCACCATCTCCAAACAGCCTTGGCCAAACATCAGCAGAATTCAGCTCTGTCCTCTCGTGCAAGGGAACACACCCCCCCCCATGTTCCTCCTCCCAAGCTAGGAACTTCTCTGCCACCGAGAGCTGCCATCACCTCGTAACCACGGCAACCCAACCTACTCTGAAACCAAACCAAAAAAAAAAAAAAACACTCTTTTTGCATGACATATTTTTTCTTCCCCCTTTTTGGTCATTTTTTGAATGATTTGCCAACCTCCTGAAGCAGAAGGTCAAGGAATTAGAGTGGTCTGCTTGGGGCAGACAGAATAGCAGCTGGGAACTCTTCCCTTTCTGGTGAATTTTAGCAGCATCAGGATATATTTGGAACAAACTCTAGTAACCTCTTGAGATTAAATTACATACAGACTTAATACTTCTGCTCTTCCATGCAACTAGTGTTTGCTTTCTAGGGGGCAATGTGCTGCCTCCTCATGGGCGACATCCTCTCCTCCCCTCGACTTGTTCACTCATGGTCTCCCGTTCCGTGTCCCTTCTCCTGCCCTCGACTGCCTCTAGCCCCTCACTTACGTTGGCGGTGCCCTGGGCTGCTGAGCACTGGTGACCTGGCAGCTTTCAAGGATGATTCCCAGGCTAACTGTATGGCCTGTAGTTTTAAAGGACATATATGTTCACTGCCACTCAGAAAAAGGGAATTGTTTCTCAGGCTTTTGAGGCATAAGACTAATATTGTAAGCCATTTTGATCCAGGAGAATACCAAAAGGTTGGGGCTTGGAAGGTGGCATGGGTACTTTCTAAGAAAGAGAATTTCCTGGTCCAGAAGGGGCTGGGTCTTGTGCAAGACTGCCAGGAGTGGGGAAGTTGGGTCTGGACATATCACATTCACTTGGCCTTCAAAGGAACAGAGTTCCCAGTATCTTCCACTTTAGAATGTCCTTGCAAGAGTGACTATGGGCAGACAGACTCCAAATTAATGATGGACTCTCAAGCTCCCCAGGAGCCCCTCGGGTTGGCAGCATCGCCCCAGAGTGTTTCCTGCTTCTGGAACTCCTCTTTAGGGAAGTTGAAAGAAGAAAAGAAAAACTTGAATTGTGTTGAATTACTGTATCTTTTGCTTTTTTTTTTTTTTTAAAGATAAACTTGTAAATAGAGTGATTTGAAATATTATATGGTGAAGTTTTATATTTGATAATCTTTAAGCTAGCACTCCACACATTTAAGCTTTGATTGTTGAGTAGGTGTGTGTAAGAGGGAGAGGGAGAAGGCAAGGTTGAAGAGAGTCAGGGTCATCCCTTCTCTGGCCTTGAGGAAGGAGGACACGTTTCTAGGGACTCTGCTGGCTCTTGTTGGTGGGCGTGACACACTGATTGTATTCGGTGGTCTTTATCTACATGTGTTTTTGAGCTTTTCTTGGGCTTTGAATTTGGAGAGAGAAAGAGCATTTTCAGGCAATGAATTTTTCGAAGAATTCTTGCTCAGTAGTAAGATGAAGCTCAGGATTCAAATAGGTGGGGATAGGAGTTAGATTTTTTTTTTTTCCATTTTTCTTCTCAGGTGTATTTCTTGGTACCCCAAGATGTCAGGACAGAAGGCGACGGGGTTGTCGCATGTTCCTTATATCTTACTCCTCTGCACATCTTCCAAGGCTGTACACATGAGGCCGAGCTATTTTGTAAATGTCGTGTGTGTGTCTACATTCTAGGAAAAACTGGCTTCTTAGGATCTTGGGTCCTCAGTATGCTGCTGCTTTCCCTTTCTTTCCTTTCTTTTTCATCTCAAGTTTCGTATGACCCCAAAATAAAAGAAAAACTCCAAAAGGGATGTAGGCTGTGCTGTTGATAGAGCTTTATAGATGACTTTAGGTTTAAAGGAGTTTGTCATTGTGATTCAGTGGATCAGCTCGAGGATTACCCAGCTATTATGCAAGAGTTCAGCCCGCAGCAAGGGAGACACTACCACTACCAACTCAGAGAGCAAGAATTAAGACTGGATAAGTCCAAGATAGGACTCAGGAAAGCCATCACTGAAAACCCAAGAACGAACACGCCAACTGGCTACACTTACTCCCTGTAGACTTGGGACAGCTGCGGAACCTGTTCAGTGGGGCTTGCGGGGACAAGCATGGTCTGTCCACTGTGCTTTCTAAATGTCAGGAAACACATAATGTTTGTTGTTGTTGTTGTTGTTGTTGTTTTTAGCACATTTGATGTTTTAAATTGTCACCTGCCTTACTGGAACCCTAACTAGAGCTAACATGGAGGAGCAGAAGGCCCAGGCCCTGATTTGGGAGCTCCTCACTGAAGCATAGCTGTCAACACTTGGCCCCAGCTTGACCACTTGGAAGCCTGTCCCTCCCTCTTCAGTTGGCTCTGATTTGAAGCCGGAGGGAAATGGAACTGCCGCCAACGGGAATTTTTAGGTAGACCCCTACCCAGCTTCCCTGTGGCCATGCTGGGGCTGTGACAGATGGCTGCTCTGCTCCCTTTCCCCAGCCAGGCTCACCTCCTCCTCATTTGCTGCAGAACTGGAGATACCATTAAGAATATGAGCCAAGAAACAGGGAAGGAATTTGATGACTAAAAGGAGGCTTTACTCTCTTTACTGTCTATGCCCCTCTCCCATTCCTAATTCTGCTCAAATAGGGAATTTGGGGCAGATTAGGAGAGTGAACAAGGTATCAGAATGGAGGACTGTGGACCAAGATCCCTGAGCTTTCCCAGGAACCTTGTGTTTCTTCTGTAAGGCACTTTGGTGAAGCACACGGAGCCCGAATCTTTACTTGGGCATCATGATTTGTCTCACTCGTCCATCAGGTACTCAAAGAAGTCTATAGCTACAGAATTCCATGCTGTGAAAGATACTAGTTTCAAATCCCTGCCCCCAAATCCCTTGCTCAAGATATTCTCTTCTGTGTTCAAAAATCAATGTATAGGGACGGACCCTGTATAGCACAGCCTTCCTTAGTATCTTATAATTGGAGCCAGTTTCTCACTTAGTGTTTTAATATTTCTGCAGCCAATATGCGTTTACTTCTGTCAGACCAAACTGTCTTTTACAACGTAATTCTAGTTCATTCCCTTTTGCTGAGTGCTTTTTGGACAGAGAGCAAACAGAAAGAAGCTAAGCAATCAAGCATTGGCAGGTTGGCATCGGCAGGACAGAGCCATGCTACTGACAAGACCATTTCAGGCATGCCCAGGACTCCACAGTTTGTGCGCCATGCCTGTAGCTCAGAGGGAAGTCCTTTTACGAACTGCGTCTCCTGACAGCAGCAAGCCCAGTCACCCCAGAAGTTCTGTCTTGACTACAGAGACTGCAAAAACATCTATGGTTGAAGCATGGGGAGACAGAAATAACCAGCTAAAGGTAATTTGCTCCCCTATTCATGACTCTTTATTGGTACTTTCCATCCTCTGGCTTCTGTTTCCAAAAGCAAGTCTAGACCAACAGTTTCATAGACAACAGGAGTCCTAGGTACAACAGTGGCCACCATGGCACTCAGAGTTTGCCCTAGTACAGAATATTTTATGAGTAACCATATTACTGCAGTAGGTAGCCAGCCTTGAAGAAACCAAATAACTACCTAACTTTAAAAGGAATGTCCCAGGTATTCTATCTCCAGAGTTATCTGTCATCTTTGGCAAACTTGACAGTAATCAATTACCTAGACAACCTTGCCCCACATGTCTTTTAAGTCAACTGGGTGTCCTCTCACACACCCTTAGCTGGTGTTTAAAAAATTCATCTCGCGTTCAAATGTGTTTGGCAGCCATGCTGATCGGCTGGGTGCTGAACCACTTCTCTGTAATTGTAGCATCAAAATGACAACAGCAGAGCAATGAACCTTGCACAATCCTACAGCATGCCTGAGAAGAGACTCCCAACAAGTAATAATTAGCTTTTTTCCTTTCGCCACCTACAGTACTTATCTAACTAAAGAACTTCCCAAAGCAGAGGGAGAGACCATATAGAGAATCCAGATGTCATTCAGAGCTGCCATCCCTGGCTGAAATGTGGTCTTCCGATGGAAGTGCTGTATTCTGGGGTGAAAAGGTTTGGATGTCAAGTAGTGCAGGGAGTGGAGAAAAAGAGAAAGGTGAACCACACTGAAGAACTGGGCGGGGGGTGCTGGTTAGGAGGAATAAATATAGTTCTTAATAGGGAAAAAATGACCACAGAAAAAGTTCGCAACTGATACTTTTATGAAAGTTTTAATAGCACTCTACAAGATGGAAATGCCTTTCAAGCTAGAATGCTATAGTGACCAAAGCCCTGGGGTAGTCCTAGACCCATATAAGAATAGCAGTTACTATTACATGAAAATTCTTTTGAGTGTAATCAGAACCAGAGTATCGATAATCAAAATGTTCCATTTCCCTGGAGCAGTCCTGGAGAGGTCAAGACATTCTACAAAGTTGTCCCTACAGACACCTAAGAGCAACTCCCTTGGGTATCCAGATGCCAGGATCACGCTGGTACCTGTGGAAAGAGGTTCATGTGGTGACTCTAAAGTGTCTGTGTATTGTGTGTGTTTATGCGCACACACATCGACAACAATAAAGACACAGACGCTCATGTAGACGCCCACGGAAGCTGGCGGCTGCTGAGACTTGACAGCCTTTTAAGATTTCAAATTGGAGAACAAGAGAAACGAGAGGCTGTTGATTGTCAACATGATCAAAGATGTAAATTAAGTGCCATTTTAAAACTTCGTATATATCAAATGGTTACTATCTACAGCTGTATTCCTTATTAACTTATTAAAAGTCGTGTAGGAAAACAGATCAAACTCATAAACCTTTAGTAGCTACTACTAGGCTAGTAGTCACAAGCACTCTAAAAGACATTTTGTCCAGATTTTGGAGAAGAAAATATTTGCATGTTTATCTCCTAATTTAGGCTACCTTTGAGTATACTGTAAAGTGCTGTGTGATAGATTATCAATAAAGTACTTAAAAATGGCACTTTAATTTTTTTAAACCATAAATTATGCACTGTTTTAAACTTCAGTATTGAATATTGACTGGTGTCTAGAATCCAATTCTGTAATTAAAAAGTAATTTGTGACTAGAATAGAACTTTTTCTCTGTTCTTAGTAAAATAGTCTTGCCATGTTGAGGCTGTTTTTTTTTTTTAAATGTGCTTTTGCGTCACTAAGCGTACCTATAAGGAAAATCCAGTTTCTGTTGAGAGGCCTCTGAAACTTGGCTTTCTTTCATCTGCTTGGTTTATGTGACAATCCTTATGAAACGAGTGGAAGTATGATTTTTGAATTAAATGACTTTTCCATTTGGTGGCACATTTGTTTCTTGAGTTTCTGATAAAGTTTTAACATGATGCCTATTTTCATATTCCTTCAAATAAGAGTGTAAAGACATGCTCACAGTTCCAGGTCTGGGTCCCTGTGGTTG